TTCCCATCAGTAATGAATGTAAAATAAAAGAAAAAAGAAGATTGTTCTCGTGAGTGCGGATCATAATTTCCTATACTAAGTAACTCAACAGATTGACGCACCAAAATAAAAAGATCAAGTAACGCAAGAGTGCAGTGCAAACGACGTTGTTAAACCACATTCTGTACTCTACCACAGACAAAGTGTATTATTTTTAACTTTGTATTTGACTATTAGCTATTATTAGCTAAATATAAAAGTGTTTTCTCCAGGTAGAATTGCATCTTTGTATGAACATAAAATCAGTAAGCTTTTGTTTTAGATAAACAGAAATTATTTTGTAGGCCACAGACCCTGGCCACTTTAGGAGGGTCCTTGTTCTCTGATACAGCAGTTGCTGCACTGGGACTTGTTGTGTGTACATGCTCTCCTAAAGGAAACACAAATAAATGACAGATCACTACATACTGTACACTATATACTGTACCTATCTTTGGCCTACCATTTTCTTCATAATTTTTTTTCCCTGGTAATTTCCATCCATGACAATCAATCAATCAATCAATCAATCAATCAATCAATCAATCATAAAACCCCTCAATTCACAAATTTACAATAAAGTAAGCTTCATATACTGCAAGACAATGACGATTCTAGAGGGAGGGCTGACATGTCATGAGAGCAATATCATGAGACAATGATATTTTTAGCTTGCATAGTTTTTAAGGCTAAAGGCATGTTTGCATATAACCACAACTCACTATTTATAAAATCAGCTCATAGTTTCAGTGTAGAATTGTAATATTAAAACAATGGACTCACCATTTATCTTTGTGCAATTTCTCAGGGACTCAGGGAGTGTGCTCTATATCAAATCAGAGAGAAAGAAGGAACAAACAATAAAGCAAATAGGAGTTTTGTTAAATCTTAAGCAAGGTAAACAATTTAATATTTTGACAAACATATATTACACATAACACCATGAAACATTCAATTTGACAAGTCTAAATAACATTAAACAGTCTTAGTACATCAATGAGAGATGTTTGTGTATTTAGTTTATTTAGACTAGATTTAGAAGGAAATCTGAATGTACCACTATCTGTCCATCACCAGCAGGTGGAGAAATCTCCTTATGATCCATGCAGGGAATCTCTGTTTCTGACTGGTTTGCCTGAAAGAAATGACAATCACTCCAAATCAGTGTACTTTAAAAATAATCCAATCATGTATAAATAAAACAACATAATGTGTATGTTACATGTGTTTTACCACACATTTTCTCACTCTAAGGGATTTACAGTTCTGCTACACTTACTATCTTCTAATTCTTGATTGTATAATGCCCTTGACTATTGGAAGTTATTATTATTATTATTATTAAGGCTTTTTTTAAAGTGGAGGCAAAGAAAAGTTACACTTCATAATATAGATGATGAAATTAGAGTGAACATTTGAGTCCATTCTCTCTGAGCTTTCTATCCTCGACGCTGCTCTTTATCTCATAGACTCCAGCCTCCAGGCACCAAACATTTCAAAATGTGCTCTGACCCCAAATCAGACCCTTTCAAGACCATGTAATCATGTTCACAAAGACATAAAAGAGCAGCTCTGATCCCGAAACAGAGGAGGAGGTGGATTTACCATCACTGAAGCAAACAAACACAGTAAAAACGTGCTTCATTCATCATATGAGCATTGAGTGCATTCAGATGTGTGGCCTAGTTACACAGACACTCGCAGCGCTGGAGTCACTTCATATCTGTAAATCATTCACTTTTATAGATACTGTTCTTCAAGAGATACGCTTTCAAGTCCAGTACTACACTACAAACCAAGTTTACGAATTAAACTGGTGACCATCTGTACATGTTCTGTCTATCTATCTATCTTATGTACATCTATCTTATGTACGTATCTATCTATCTATATACACATATATATATATATATATACACACACACACCTGTACATAGTTATTTTTCATATAAAAATAAAGAAGTAAATTACAAACCATAAGACAAATACAATAGATACATATTAAATAAAATACACTCATTTTTCTAATACAGTAGGTTTAACATGTATACTTTATTTTACATCTTTTGTTGTTTGATTAACATTAATGAGACAGACAGGTATTTAATTAGGCTGCTCTCCCTTTAAGATCGAATGAATGCAATATACTGACACATATTCGGTTTTTACGTTCACTTAAGCCATAACCGACTGTATTTACGTGAGATATTCCACCCGATGGACATTTTGACATTTCGGGGGCGCGGCTGAGAGAGGCTTCTGTTGTGTCATTCAGCATGATTCCGATCTCCACAAGGAAGAGTCGAGATTAGGGGTGTGCCATATCATACCGTCCACGATAATACCGTATAAATTTTTACATGATTAAAAAGTGTCATATCGCGATATCAATGATATAGCGACGCGATGACGTATGGCGCATTTACGTTCCCTAGCGCGCATTATTATTATTATTATTATTATTATTATTATTATTATTATTATTATTATTATTATTATTATTATTATTATCATCATTATTATTTGCTGTGGCATTAGTTGTTCTGGAAAGGATGATGATTATGTGAAATAAGTTTCTTTAACTCTGCAGTTACATCATTCCTATCATGCAGTTAATTTTCATGAAACCTTTATTTCTGTCATGAAAAATTTAGCATGGTAATGGATATGACATAGTTAATGTATTTGGTCTTAAAGAAACAGATCTGCAAGGCTGCTACTGCTTCTGTTGATTATTGCTGCTGCTGCAAAGCAAGTACAAAGACTTGCTACTGCCAAATCACACAGAGACACTGCTGTGGGCATGTAAGACATACTGCTTCTGCACAAATAACATACATGAAATTACCCCTAGCAGATACCCCTATACATGTGGAGCTGGGGGAGGTGGATGGTTTTTGAGAGGGTTTCAAGAATTGCTTACAGCAAACACTGAACTGAACAATTTAAATGTTCATTAGTAGGCTACAGATGCAAAAGAGACCAATCAGCTTGTGCCATGTAGTGATAATGTGATAGCTAGCAAATTGCATTAAGGACCTATCAGCCTTTGCTATCTAGTGTTTCACGACAAAACTAGATATATGTTACAAAAAATAAGATTTTAGATTTTATATCTATATGATAGCTTTAAGTGAATTTCAGGTGTAGTCTTAAAAAAAAAACCTTGGGAATCATTAGGATAACTGCATTACCAGCCAAAGTCTTGATTACCACAGGATAAACACCTTAACATGTGCAGTATAAAAATTACATGCAAAACTTTTTTGTTATTTGAAGGGAACAAGATGCTGCGTCATGGTGGTGGTGGTGGTGGTGGTGGTGGGGGGGGGTATAGTATATTATTCTATATTATAAATATATATATATATATATATATATATACTGCCATATCATACCGTCCACGATAATACCGGTATAAATTTTTACATGATAAAAAAGTGTCATATCGCGATATCAATGATATAGCGACGCGATGACGTATGGCGCATTTACGTTCCCTAGCGCGCACAACAACACCACAAACCCAATAGGTGTGTTCGACTTGAAGCAGCGCTGCGCAGACTGATCGGTGTATGACATCAAAGTATCGCGAGAGCGGTTCTAGAGCATATTCGAGCGCACACTCATAAGTCACTCCCACGGTATTTTGACGTCATACACCGATCGCGATCGGTCTGCTTCAAGTCGAACACACAGCTGCTGCTGCTGCTGCTGCCACCTTATGACAATAGATTTACACTCGAATTAGGTAGTCTGTCATCGATGACAGTAGCTTATTGGAAAAGGATGGAAAATGCCCTTCATTTTGTTTGCACTAATAAATGCTGCTGCCTGCCAGCTGCAGTCACCAATAAAATGTTGTTCTATATTTTTTTCTATATCGTCATAAATATCATTATCGCAAAAATTCTTGAAATATCGTGATATAATTTTGAGGCTATATCACCCACCCCTAGTCGAGATTGTGGGGAAATCATACCCCAGCTTCCATAGTAACCTTTGATAGTTCAAATTACTCTAATGTGAGGGGACTTGTGAGCATGGGTATGAGAAGATGCCCCGGGTAGAAGTGTTGCAATCCCTCGCTGGTGTGGCGTTTGCCCTCTAAGCCATGTCAAACTACACTGCGGCTGGTGGGCAAGGCTTACGTTAGCGGTGGGCTATGCTGGTGGAGCCCTTTCTGATAATGCTTGTGCCATTTCCTCTTAGGAGGACTGATGGTTGAGCGGACAGTGGATAGAGCAGAGGATAACTCGCTTTCTCCTGTAGCCTCTTCCAGTTCTTTAAATTGGATGTTAAAGTATGTTTATCCTTCGGTTGGGTTGCTTTTAAGAGCTTTTTAATTTGCTGAGGCCTGGTGACAGCTTAGGTAGCGGAGTTGTTGTCTGCCCCTTCCAGATGGGAAGTCGTCGGCATCAGCAGCTGTAGCTCCAGCCTCCCTGGTTAGGTCTGCCTCTAAAGCAGGGTTCCTCAAATCTTGCCAATGCACTGCAGAGTTTAGCTCCAACTGTGATCAAACTTACCTAACTGTGATTTTCTAATGATCCTGAAGACATTGATTAGCATGCTCACATGTGTTTGATTAGGGTTAGAGCTAAACTCTGCAGGATATTGGATCTCGTAGGCCAGATTTGAGGATCCCTGCTCTAGTATATAGATTTGGTCTTGAACCAGTCTCTTTGTGGGAGTATCCCAACTAAGGGGTAATGAACTGTGGAATTATTCTGTGCCTCTAGGCACCAAGTTCTTGGTCACATCAGTATGGCAACCTCAGCAACATCCTGGTTTGCTACATTTGATTTCACAGCAGGTGAGCAGGCATTTATTCAGTATAGCGCAGTGGGAATTAATGTTCCCATAGCGTCAAGACCATGACACAGCATCAAAGTTCCCTTCGAAAGGGAACGTCTTAGGTTATGTATATTTCAGATGCAAGACAATTCAAAGTTGATGAAGCTTTATGTGGGCCCTTTTATAGTATGCCGGTGCGCTAGTGATATCAAATGACTGCCGTAGCCAATCAAGATTGGTGTGTTTATACATGTGATTTGTCATGTTCCTATCTCAGGGAACTGGGTTATATACATAACCCCAAGACGCTTTACAGACTCTATAGTAAGCCTACAGATACACATTCAGTTCAAGCTGGAATGAAGAACCAATCAACAGACGATGCTTAAATATATTCTACATGCACAAGAATAAAAACATGGTATTAAATTATTAATTTCAGCAAACTATCAGATAAAATGTTCTATGTACTCACAGAGCGTGGCACAGTAAAAGAAGCCTGTCTGGTGACCGCCAATTGATATTTTACCATCCTGTCCTTGATAGAGCCGCTGCGCCTCAGACTTGGTTTACCTATGACAGAATTTATTTATTTATTTATGTATTTACTTACTTATTTTTTATTAAACAAATAATCCTCCTTCAGGAACTAGACATCATACAGAGAGATGAATTAGTCTTTGTTTCGACTGTGAATGTTTTCTAGTATTTACCTCTGTTGCCCATTTGTGTGTCCACGTCCCCTGAGCTGCTGTTCGCTTCTGTTTGCACCTGAGGAATTAAGTACAAACCATGTAAACCAGTGACAGATTGAAAACATCTGCCTATAAAATTTGACACAGATATTTGTAGTGAGCATACACTGTCCTTGATAGAGCCGCTGCGCCTCAGACTTGGTTTACCTATGACAGAATTTATTTATTTATTTATGTATTTACTTACTTATTTTTTATTAAACAAATAATCCTCCTTCAGGAACTAGACATCATACAGAGAGATGAATTAGTCTTTGTTTCGACTGTGAATGTTTTCTAGTATTTACCTCTGTTGCCCATTTGTGTGTCCACGTCCCCTGAGCTGCTGTTCGCTTCTGTTTGCACCTGAGGAATTAAGTACAAACAATGTAAACCAGTGACAGATTGAAAACATCTGCCTATAAAATTTGACAGATATTTGTAGTGAGCATACAACAATGGGATTCACAATTAAGCGTAGAAGGTAATGGCACAAAGTTGACATCAACTTTGCTATGCAACTATGCATCCACTGGAACATCAACTGTAACGTCCTCTAGAACTTCTGAAGCTTTTATAGTTAGTGCCAATCCTTTTAAGGTAATTATCTTCAAAGTGAAAAAAATAAATAAAGCCACCACAGACAGCATTAAATGATTATAGCAATAAATAGAGGTGGAAGTAGAATGAACAATCAGACCAATGAAAAAACAGTCATTAGGTCTCTGTATGTGCAGGATGTCAGTATGGCTATGGGGCATCTGCAGAAATTCATGTGTGATGGAGTTTATTGTTGGATGTGTTGTGCTCCTATTCTGCTGATTATTGAACTGTTCGAAAGAAAGGAATTGGACTTCCCATCACTATTAGTAATGGGGGCATAGACACTTCTGTTTAATGATTAACTATTTTTGAGATACTTTTAAGATTTTCCCTTATTATTCCCAAATTAAAGTAACACTCACAGTAATGTGATATGGCTCCATATCAAATAACATTAAAAAAGAAAGGAAAAGAAAGGGGGAAAAAATTAAATTTAGGCTAATACTTGTAAGCAAAAATGTGTTGCAAAATAGTCTGGAATGGAGAGTGCATTATGAATTAGTGTTTTATATAAAAACCTAATTGATGTTTATATATTTGTATTTGAAATTAAAATTATTCATATATTCTACAGTTATTCAATGTACTCGACTTAACACAGCTTACTCTTAATGTACTGCACCATACTGTCACTAGTATTACAGTTAGTTTCAGTGTCATGGACTTTTAGTTTGTATTCATTAGTTCCTGTATTCCTTTGCTTGATTTTCCTGCTTTTCCTTTGTTTCTATGGTTAATAATGATTTCTTCATTCAGTTCAGCTGTGTTTATTTAATCACCTCTTTCGTTGTATACTTAAGTTCCTGCTTTTCATCAGTTCAGGGTCCGGTCACGTGTGTGTAAAGTGTGTGTTTGCTGCTACCTTGTGTTACATTTATCCTGTGGAATATTATTTAAGATTGTGTTGGAACTTTATTCATCTGCCTGTCTTCAGTCTGTGCACGCACTTGTGACATATATATATATATATATATGAATCAAAGTTTACCCCACTTTTTTCCTACTATAAATGCAACAAGATGAAGACCACCTCTGAGTAACAACACCCTTCAATCACATTACGTCTGAAATTTGAAATTCAACAATGGATACATTTAGAACATGAACATGTTTAAATAAACCAGGTTACATCAGTGAGGGGAAAAGGCAAGGAGACAGATGGAGAAACAAACGGTGTGTAGTCTGTCGAAGGTTTTGTACTCCTTCAGAGATCTGGTGGGGTTTAAAGAGGATGTGCATACCAGTGCCATGACATCATCAACGGCATACAACTCAAGCATGAAGCAAACACATGGGGAATATTATAGCTGAGTGTGGCATAACATGTTTTGCGTGTACCAAGGTGAGCATGACAGTACACATATAGAACTAAAACATTTTTGTAAAACTTCTATCCGTATCCCTCCATCTGAAAACTAGCCATTAACTCATTGTGATCAAATTTAGACTGAGTCCTCGGTTTATAAAACAGCTCAAAAATAGAACGTGAATAAGTGTAAACAATTAAAGGTCTAGTGCTAAAAAAAACACACTGTACACAAGTATGTAAACACAGACACAAGAACTGCTAATGTAGGGGGAAAAAGTTCTCCATTATCAAAGATGGTTTCAGCACAGTCTCTGTGACTCTGCCAGCAGCAAATGGGAAAAAGAAAGAAGCATTTTTAAGAAAAAAATAAATAAGTAGATTTGAATGGATGAAAGAAAACTACACTGGACAAATGATCTTTTCACTATAGATACAGATAATTATTTCTTAATGAAAATGTCAAAATGTATGCTTATTACGGTTTTGTAACACAAAAAGACAGCCTTTGAGGAGTTTTTCATTGAGTTGATTAGTGAGAACCACCATACCATCAGAAAACACCAAAGTGCCAGTTATATTCTTATAGAAAAAAAAAATAGATGTTCTTTAAAAAACATTTGAGAACTACTTAAGAATTTTTCAAGTATTTCAGGACGAAAAAATGCATCCTGGACCTGGAATATGCTACAAAAACCCTACAGTATATGCAACATTACTCGTCTCTCAATGTCAAATAAAACATTCATTGTCTGCAGTGGCACAGCTTGTGGTCTATGAGTTTGTAACAGAGGTATTATATATATATATATATAATTGCTGTGCTTCTAATACCTAATAACTGAAGCTTACTGTGAAGACAATGTTAGATTCAGTGACTGTTTTAGTGAGAAGATTACTATCTCAACATTAACATGGAATGAGACATTCCAAAAGAGTCTAAAGAATCAAGCAGGAATGTGAGCACATGCCAGGCCTCTGGTTATGACAAAGGGGGATTGGCACTCTGAAAAGAGGTAAAGCCCAGGAACATATATCCATTGAACACATGTCCATATCAAGTTGTTAGACATAGGTAAGTTGATTAAATTATTCTTAAGTTGACTTATTTACCAAATTAGAAATAAAAAGCTTGACGGAAATTCTGCTAAATTATCTGTTAAATCAACCAGCCGGTTTAACATGCTTACTAAAGCATTATCCAGATGGTTTCAACAAGATCCAACTTATTTAGAAAGAAATTATACCAACGTATTCTGCACCTGTTCTACATAGAGCAAGCCAGTTCTGTTTAAATACATCTAATTTGAGGTTTGAGTATGTATTCTTCTGATAATGACAGTTTATGAAGCTACTTAAAATAAGGTTCTGCCAAAAGATATTAATATCATTGCTGTGCACAGTATCTTGAAAATTCAATATATATATTAAATTTACAGAATTCAACTGAAAATGAGATTGAAGCACGTCACAAAGGTTTAGAGAACATTAGTGAAGTCAGTGCCAGTGCTTGCAACAGCTACACCCTTCAAACACTGCATGAGGGAGGAGAGAGAGAAACTCGATGAACCTCAACATCTAACAGAGGAAAAATGAATAAGATCCATCTGAACTTATTCTTATAATATATTAAATTAGTTTCGATAACTATTTTGTGTCATTGACTCATTGACAGATATTTTGCAATGTAAATGATACTCATCGACAGATATCTGAATATATAAAAATAGTTTGCCTGTCAACACGTTTGAGATTAATTAAATACTGTATGTTAATATCTTAAACTCATTTCATTCTGTTTTAGAGACCTACTATTTTTTAAAGGTAGTGTGAGTAGCATCTATCACTATTTACATTTAGTGTAAGCGAAATATAGTGTAAATCACATTTACACTATATTTGATATTTTAGTGCCTTGAATATTTGATGTTCTTAACATCAATGATGTGCTTTATGATTGTTCATTTTTGTACTACTGGGAGTGAGATTTGGTTTTCCACATTACATTAATGTGAATTAGTTATTTTTTTCATGTTATAGTAATTTGCACGGAAATTGTGTTTAATTATCATAAAATAGAATTAAAAATTAATTGTCCTAAATAGACTGCATCTTCTTTATGCAAAACACAGTAGATTTCTTTCCTCTGATTATGTGGTAAAATATGACCGGGACATTTCTTCGTATAAGATTTGCCTTGTAAGAGTGAAAAAAGCATCTAATGGATGTTATAATACTGGATTACGGATCTTTTTTTTTTTTTTTTCTACCACAAAGAACCGGGAAGTAAAATATAGAGAGTGCAGAGAGAGGTAGCCTGATGACATTCATATGTGACTATCTCACCTTGCTTTTGCCCTTTTCATACATAATTTTGAGGTTATTGAGGGGCAGGGCTGGTTTCTCCGCAGGGGAACATGGATCAGATGCAGTCATACTTTTTTCATTCTCTTTTACACACTTCTTTTGTTTAGTCTCCACGTCTGCCTTTATTTTTGCAGGTCTCTCATGGGAGGTTGACTCTTGAGTCAGGCTGGGCTGTCGCATGAGTTTGCTGGAGGAAGCAGGTGGTTCTGGAGGACTGCTGGGTTTGCAGGAAGCAGACCGAGCTGTCAGGCTCACAGGTGCCACACTCAGCTGAGGAGCAGATTTCTCCTGATGTGTCTGTTCCCAGCGTTTCTTCAGTACACTCAGGTTTCCTGATCGCATGGACAGAGGCACACTGTCAACAGACTGAGAAAGAATATACGTTTTTAATTCATGTAGAGATCAATTACAAACATACAGTGAAAAAAACAAACAAACATATCCTCATCACCTGTGGTGAATTCCAACTACTTTTACATGTTCTGTAAGAAAATAAAATGGGGCTTGTCACAATGTCAGGGTGTTGCCAGAGTGTTGCTATGTGGTTGCTAGGGTATTGACAGAATGCTACTTACATGGCAAAGAGGCCTGATTGCCTAGAAATGTTATAAATTACATACTCCTCTCCTGCATTGCATATATCATTCATATTTTATGTTGTAAAATGTTATATTCTTCATAATAACCGCCCTAGACAATGGATATATATAATGGATAGAATCCAGAACTGTTATCAAGGGTGGCTTTATATAGTATACAAAGCTCATTTCAAGAATTTAAACATAACCATTATAACATTGCACAAACAAACAAAATAAATAAATAGTTAGTTAGTTAGTTAATTAATTGAAATATAGCTGAAATAAATATAAATATAAGATCAAAATATTGAACTAAATGAACATTTTAAATGTTACCTTGACAACTAACTGAAATAAGTTTGTTAAAGCACTAAATATTTTAGAATATTTTGTTTGGAACAGAAGTGTCAAGGTAATTCAACTCCACAGCGACAGGCAAATGTTTGAACATGACGAGATATGGGACAATACCTCCACACGAGGCTGCTACAACAATCCAGGAAAACTCAGAACAGCTGTTTAAAACACCCCCACATAAACACAGGCGAGGGTTAATCACTACTAGAACACTCACCAAATAACACCCAATAATGACACGTAACATTGCACAAACAAACAAAATAAATAAATAGTTAGTTAGTTAGTTAATTAATTGAAATATAGCTGAAATAAATATAAATATAAGATCAAAATATTGAACTAAATGAACATTTTAAATGTTACCTTGACAACTAACTGAAATAAGTTTGTTAAAGCACTAAATATTTTAGAATATTTTGTTTGGAACAGAAGTGTCAAGGTAATTCAACTCCACAGCGACAGGCAAATGTTTGAACATGACGAGATATGGGACAATACCTCCACACGAGGCTGCTACAACAATCCAGGAAAACTCAGAACAGCTGTTTAAAACACCCCCACATAAACACAGGCAAGGGTTAATCACTACTAGAACACACACCAAATAACACCCAATAATGACACGCTGCCCCAAAACACTATCATTTCATCAAACCACCAGACGTTGTTACATCACAGGTTTAGTACAAGAATCCATGAATCAACTTTTTGATAGTTGTTGTTTTTGCTTTTATTTCAAAGTGTGTTACATCACTGCCATCAACATGTCGAGCAGAATGCCAACACCAAACTCTTCTTATATGTGTTTAAAAGAGTTAAAACGGTCAAATAGACAATTAAAACAAAGAATGGCTGTTTTCTTCCGCATAATGTCTCGCTACTCCAAGTCAATACAGGCTCAGTAGATAGAGGACTGCATTCATGCAACAGTCTTTGTGAAACCATGCTGAAACAAGACGCCAGAAAGAGAAGTTGTAGGAGATGAGAGGAAAGACCTGGATGGACAGGGCGCTCTTTATGTCTTTTCTCTGTTCTCTGTGCTTTCTCCGAGCTCCTTGGGCGCTGGACATCAGTGATAAAGCTCTGCCAGATGTGCAGCAGGCAAGAAACTTGTAAGAACTAGTCCAGCCCAACTGAACACATGAAGGAAGGAAAGAGAGAAGTGAAAGGAAAGGGGGGAGGGGGGATGTGTGTGAGATGGAGGGGTGGGAGATGATTAACAGGCGCCTGCAGTGAAACCTGCATACAGGAAATGATGCATGTGATGAAATTTAACTCTTTCCTGTCTATTTCATGAGGAGGATACATGAGGCTGTAAACTTATAGGCAAAAAAAAAAAAAGCATAAACACATATTTAAGGGAAGAAAAAACAGGAAAACATTTCAATCAGGACATAAAGACTACCTATAAACTGATGTGTTTGGATGACTAACTACTGGGAGTTAACAGTAAACCACCTATTGACTAGCCTTCTGAAGCAACTTAATGTCTTGCATTGATTCTGATGTTTTAAAAGTTAAATGTGTAAAGAAATAGTTAAATCAGAAATGAAAAATCTGTTATCATATACTCAACCCTCATGCCATGTCTTGTAAAATGCAAGCGTAGAAATGTTAATGAAGTTATTCTCTCTTTTTTTTTTTACATAACAAAATGTAACCTAGAGACTTATGGGGTTGGACATCCAAAAAGCATTTTTAAATTAAAAATAGTTTCCATTACATTAAATTCTAGTAAAACCGGGAAAACTTACTGATTTTTTATGTTCTGCACTTGCCTCCTCAGCGGCTTTCTGATATCTGAAAAAAAGAAGAAAAAGAAAAGTATAAGTAAATGTTAAGTATCATAATCACAATCAAGCTAAACATTTTTGATCAACATTAGAATACATTTTCCTCTTTTGGTTTAACATGCACAAACAAATATAAGTATTTCCCTGAAAAGTATAAACACTATGGCTCAAACAAAACATTCCGACAAAGAGTTTTGTGTGGGACTATATTTGTCTGCTCAATATCAGATGAAAATTAGAAACCTCTTTGAAAAACACTTTGATGACACTAAAGGCAAAGATATACACACTTGAGAAAAAGAAGAAGAACTGCCTAAGCAGTGGAAGGTCACTAGAGCATTCTCAGGGGGCATCAGTTTGTTTACAGCTCAAAAATACATTTAGTGATATGATATCAATACAAGTTAATTAAAATCCAATATGGGAACAGATTATTAACACTGCTTAGTTGTTCAAAGCTTATGGCCCTGGAGTAAAAAGAAAAAGAAAAAAAATAATGAATGTTGGTCCAAATGTATATGGTAAATTGCTGCCCCCTACTGGCACTAACATGACATTTGTTATGACCGGTATCATCATTTGTGATGACATTCTCAGGATTATCAGGATTCTGTCATTTATGAGTGATTATTTGTTTTAGTTGCATTTTATATTTTCGTTCATGAAGATTTTTTTTTTTCCAAATCTTCATGACTATCCTACAGCTTTGTTCTCTAGTGATGGCAAATAAAAGCTTTGTTTACACTGTATAGTTAAAACAGTTCACCACTCAAAGCTTTTCAGCACAGTTTAGTTTGTGGCCATCTGGTGGTCAAAATGATGAAAAGCATCTACAAAACTAACATTACAGATGCTGGTTTTACATTTGGTTCTGCAGCAGAAACTACATGAAAATGTCATTTTCTTTATAATAAATAATGGGCATTGTTGAAGTGATTTTTTTCGGTTTAGAGTATTAACACTAAAATAAGTAAAACGAATAAATCATACATTTATAAATAAAATATGCAGTCTGCCTATTTCAATCATGCCCCAGTCCTTCGGCTGTAATTTTATACACAATATTCATATAGGCTTCATATTGTAATAAAATAAGTAAACCCATGCTTGGGCTCACTGCTTTGAACCATTTTTGACAACAATACAATTCATTCCTTAAAATACATTTTTAACATAAAATCCAGTTTCAGTGGTTGTGTTGATATTTTAATTTTTAAACTGGTTGGGCCATTTTCATTATATTGCTAATGAATAACAATCCCAATAGCAAACCAGGTTGTCTTTTTATTGTGTCTCTTTTTAATAAGCATCACCCTGGTTCCCTCAACAAAAAGTCAAAAGGATTTTTCAGTGGCTTTTAGATTATTGCAGAAAATAAGCTGTGTGACCATCAACAATGCATTATTCCTACATGTTTTGTTAATCAAGATAATCTTTACAAATAAAGACAACTTTTTTTTTCTTTAAATATTCCCCATAGCCATGTAAATAAGCACTAATAATATGGAGAGAAAAAGTGAATATCACTTACTTGGAAAAGCGCTGAGTGATGGCATTGTTCTTGCCACGGCTCCCAACCAATGAGAGCTCTTTGGCTGTGATTCGTAACGATTGTGACGCCCACTGTTTCCTGCTAAATGGCCCCACATCCATCTCTGCCAAACAGAAAATCAAATATGAAACACAAAACAGTTAATGGAACAGCAAACATGTAAAAGGTAGCATTTAGAAATCTGAAACTATTGTTGTGTACAACAAACATTCTAAGTAATAGTTTGGCCTAACAAATGTCCTAAACAATAAATAATGTTTTAACATCTAAAACGTGTGACTTGGCCCATGACACACTTGCTCTTAGAACACAGTTCAATGTTTCAATTAAAACCTCTTTTTTACCAACCTCAGTATGTAGCTGACCTACCTGAATGAAAAATTATCCATATGTGTCACTAATTCTAAATCACATTATGATATAAGTTATCTCTGTTCCCTATTGAACGGTCTTTCCCATTGCATTGATAGGCTTATGGGGAAACTCCTGTTTACTCTGATACTAAAGCCTGATTTGTTCACGTCCGTGTAGCTGCATGAACAAACGGTGCTTCAGCCCAACAAAAGGGGTGAAGCCGACTGCTATATAAGTCAGCTCTGAGCGCCATTTCATCACAATTTTCTCCTTCAACTCCGGAACATCATCTCCCCGCTGGACTCTGAAGAAGAAGCAAGAAGCTCGAAGCCTACTACTCTGCGTAGAAGGGCCCCAGCAATGGAAGGACACCTCTTATCAGCGCTTCCCATGCCACCATCCGGGGATCTCAAAGAGCATTTTCAAAGAGCAAATTTCCACGGCAGCATTGTTTCAAATTTTGTGCCGTGAGTGTGGCTCAGACAGGCACAGTGAGTGCGTCGCTTGCCGGGGCAGTTCCCACGCTGAGGCTGCACTCACTGAGATAGAGTGCTCTCATTGCGAGAGCATGAGTCTCACCCTGCTTTGCTCATGGATCGCCTTCTTTCATGAAGGCTGTCCTCCCCCGTTTCTCTCCTCCCAGAAGCGAAACAGCGGGGCAACGGGACTGATTTATCAGGCTTACGTGAACTCACGCCAGCACAGGTCCCGCGTACCTCACTCTTCCCGTAGCGCCTCGATTCACCAGTATATTTCATACGTGAGGATCAGCGTCCCTTGTCAGTAGCAAGCAGCTTGAACTCTATCAGCGGATCAGAGGAGGAAGCTGCTGCCGATGACTCCATTTCACTGACAGCTTTGGATGCAGAGGAGTGGTTGTGTTCCGGTGAGGATACTGGCACCCCTCCTCCCAAAGATTCAACACGGGCCAGCGTGGACAGCAAGCTGATTCGCATCCTCACTAAAGCCGTGGAGGAACTTGGCTTGGATTGGTCGTCTCCGGAAGAGCCCACCCACAGTCGCTTAGACGAGTGGTACCTGCAAACAGCACGTCGTCAACGATCCTACCACCAAAGGCTGTTCCCATTCACAATGAACTTACCAGGATGTGGTGCACCCCCAACATGGCATTAGTTCATTCCTGCACTTCTGCTGCCCTCACATCCGTTAACAACGCTGAAGAGAAGGGTTATGGCAAGCCTCTTCCTCTGGAAGAGGCGGTCGCTGCGCATCTGTGCTCTCCATCGGCCCTGGGATTGAAGGACCATGCGGTGCATCCATCCACGCCTTGCAGGACCACTTCTGCTCTAGCGGGCAGGGCTTATTTGGTGGCTGGCTAAGCACTTCATACAAAGGTGGCGCCTTTAAGGAGCTGTGCACAATGACTGACCTGGCTCTGCGTGCTACAAAGGCCATTGCGCATACGACTGGCAAGGCCATGGCCAACCTGGGGTGCGTTTCCCGTACAATGACGTAACTCACTGATTAACCACCATAGTACGATGCATTGTTGTGGAAACTAACTAGCCAGTCACAACTGTTTCCCGAACACGGTTGCATCTCCGTCATTTGAACCACATTTTCTGCTGCCCTCACATCCGTTAACAACGCTGAAGAGAAGGGTTATGGCAAGCCTCTTCCTCTGGAAGAGGCGGTCGCTGCGCATCTGTGCTCTCCATCGGCCCTGGGATTGAAGGACCATGCGGTGCATCCATCCACGCCTTGCAGGACCACTTCTGCTCTAGCGGGCAGGGCTTATTTGGTGGCTGGCTAAGCACTTCATACAAAGGTGGCGCCTTTAAGGAGCTGTGCACAATGACTGACCTGGCTCTGCGTGCTACAAAGGCCATTGCGCATACGATTGGCAAGGCCATGGCCAACCTGGGGTGCGTTTCCCGTACAATGACATAACTCACTGATTAACCACCATAGTACGATGCATTGTTGTGGAAACTAACTAGCCAGTCACAACTGTTTCCCGAACACGGTTGCATCTCCGTCGTTTGAACCACATTAGTTCAACAATTTAGGGCCGTTGTTAATGACGTCACACGCATGTGGTGGAACTTTTGCTAATTAATTGATTCAAGATCTCTGAGATGCTGCTATATTGAATTTGGCACCTGATGACTAATTTACTATGATTTGTTCCCTGTTATTTTGCTTTTTTTGATGTTTGATTCATCACGGGTTTCCTCTTACATCATACTCCGGGGTTCCCTTAGGCATTTATGCACATGCGCAGTCTTCAAAAACTGTGCTTATTGAGGACACTCTAAATTAATTTATCAATTAAAATGTATACATATATTTAAATAGAATGGAAAACATAGATTGTACTGCATGATAGCTTAAAATGTATTTAAGTCCATATGTCTTACTAACAAGAAACTATGCTTCTAACCACAGGTGGAGAATTGTAGTTCCTACCACGTAAGTTTGCGACGCTGTTTGCGAATGTTCGTTTGAACTATGGTTTCAGGAAACACCAAATCGTTGAACTATGTTGGTAACGACGGAACTTATGACCATAGTTGGCTAACCATGCTTTTGGGAAACGCTTCCCCTGGTGGTGCTGGAGCATCACCTTTGGTTGAACTTGACAGAGATCAAGGACACTGACAAGGTCGCCTTCCTCAACTCCCCTGTGTCCGCCACAGGGTTATTTGGCCCTGCCGTGGATGGTTTTGCAGAGTGCTTCATGGCGGCACAGAAGTCATCGCAGGCTATGCGTCACTTTCTGCCAAAGCTTTCTAGCTCGACGGCTGGTTCAAGATGCCAGAATGCTCCATCCTCCCAGCAGCCTGCGAACGCCACGCCATCTTGGGCACAGCCTCAGCCCAAGTCTGAGCCTAAGCCTGCTTACATTCACATCCAGATTCAAGGGGGTGAATTATCAATATACAGTCCTGCCCTTCAGACTGTCTCTAGCCCTGCACACTTTTACAAAGTGTGTGGATGCAGCTCTTTCCCCTCTGAAGCAGATGGCTTGTGTTAGCCAGATCGGAGCAGGAACTCGCTCACAGGTCGCTGATGCTCATGAATTTAATGAGTAAATGAATTTAGCCAAGAGCTCTCTGTCTCCCAGTCAGTGAGTCGTCTTCCTGGGGACAGTTATCGACTCGGCCCAGATGTGTGCCTGTCTTACGCCAGAATGCTCACTGACAATTCAACGGTTAGTGGAGTCATTCAGAATAAGGTCTCGTTCCCCCAGAGTATTCCAGAGGATGCTCGGCCTCATGTAAGCTGCCTCCTCTGCGATTCCATTTGGCCTGCTTCACATGAGGCCCCTCCTATTTTGGCTGAAAGCCTGTGTACCGCCCCACGCTTGGTGCCTGGGACGTCTTCGCCTCAAGGTGACCCACCGCTGCATCAGAGCTGTGGCTCCTTGGAAGGCCCCTCTCCTGTTTCAGACAGGCGTCCCATTGGGACTGACCACCAGAAGGAAGGTGGTCACGACAGATGCCTCCAACTCAGGTAGGGGAGCACTGTACAAAGGCAGACTGTGGTAGCCTTTATAAATCACCAAGGTGGTATCAGGTCACGCTCCCTTTACAGGATGGCGAGACGCCTCCTCTTATGGGCACAGTGCAACCTACTCTCACTGAGGGCAGTTCATGTGCCGACTGAGCCGAGACTGAACTAAGACTGAACCAAGGAGTGGACATGTTGTCCCAGGGCAATGTAGCTCCAGGAGAATGGAGGCTACACTCCCAAGTAGTTCATACAATTTGATCTGTCTTCGGGAGGACAGAGGTGGACCTCTTTGCCTCAGAAGACAACTTTCACTGCCCGGTATATTTCTTGTAAGAGCAAGATGCTCTGGCCCACAAATGGCCCAGCGCTCGCCTGTACACCTTCCCTCCGATTGCCCTGCTCCCTCAGGTCATCAAACAGGTGAGGGAAGTCGGTTGCTCGGTCCTCCTTGTGACCCCACTCTGGAGGAATCAAACATGGTCCCCGAGTTAATCCAGCTGCTATCGGCAGCTCCTTGGCCAATTCTATTGAGGAATTCAATTCAATTCAATTCCTCCTCTCTCAAGCAAAAGGCATGATCTGGCATCCCTGGCCCGAACTGTGGAACCTTCAAGAATGGCCCCTCAACGGGAGTCTTTGCAGCTCTCTGTGAGGGTGACTAACACTATTTTGGAGGGTAGAGCCCCATCTATGCGACGCCACTATCTCCTCAAGTGGTTAGTCTTTTCTACAGCACGGAATGAGGACCCATCCTCTTATGACATGCCATCCATGCTAACCTTTCTACAAGAGCAGCTTGATAAGGGGCGCACCCCTTCCACGCTCAAAGTGTATGTGGCAGCCATTGCGGTGAATAACATTCTCGTGGCTGGCCAGTCAATCAGCAAAAACATCCATGTCGTTAAGTTCTTAAATGGCTGCCAGTTACGAAGCAGAGACTGAATAATCCTACTGAAGAGTTGACGCTATAGCCCTGGCTTACACCTCTTTGGGCTTACAGTGTCCTATTGTAGTGAGGGCCCACTCCACCAGAGGAATAGCCTCCTCCTGGGCATGGTCCAGCGGAGTTTCTATTGGTGATATTTGTGTGGCTGCCGGCTGGTCTTCGCTGTCTACCTTTGCCAGGTTTTACAACTTGGATGCATGGATTTTGTCCACCTAATTTACCTAATTACCTTTTAAGTGGAGAAAGTATTGTAGCATATCAACCGTTTAATAGGGAACACTCTGGTTACTGCCATAACCTCAGTTCCCTGAGATAAGGGAATGAGC